TAAACACTAAGCTATGCCCCTCAACCTTAGAACAACATATGAATGCTTGAGTTTGAAACCAGCATGGTATCCATCTGTTACTTTCTTAGGGTCAGAAATTAGGGACAATTTGTCAATAAACATCTTTCTCATTAAAATATTCCATCTGATAGGGTGGAAAATCTATCCAGCTAGCCGTTAGAGACTGTGACTGCTTTCTAGCTGTGTGACCTTGGGTAGAGGACTTCACCTCTCTGTGTTTCCATTTTCCATAGATCAAAAGCAGAAAAGCAGATGATGGTCCATTTTGCTGAATTTATGGAATTATTGGGAGGACCTTTGGTGCACATGCATATGAGGGAGCTTTGTAAACTGTCAAGTGCTGCCCAAGTGGAATGGAGTATGCTTCTTGAATAACCTTGAACTTTCTCCCTAAGCCCTGCTATGCTCTGTTTCTGAAACAAATGCATACATTGTGCTCTCTGGCCTTCCCTGCCCTCATGCCCAGTGTGTTGCAGGAGCCGTCCTCTGATTACAAACCCGGTTGCTCAATCTCACCAGTACAGGATGTTTCATTCTATTCCGACACGGCTTAGATAGCACAGAGTTAAGAGTCTGTAATTCATCCTTCATTGATCAATGTTCTCAACTGTTACACGCTTGCCTGAACCCCATCCCATTCCCTTGTAACGCCAGAGGCTTAAGAACAATGAATGGATTCATGTCTCACATCAGTTCCCTGAGAAGGTCCCTAAATCTTACTGGGTCATTCACCACTTTGAGACACTAGTGAAAGCCAAGGCCTCTTTCCTGGGGGGAAAAAATAAACATAAAAACATATAAGCTACACACACACATGCAACTAGGTACAATTTTGTGGGATTCACAGCCCCTCTGACACCAGGGACTGCAGGTCCCTGGTAAAACATTTGATTTCTGATGTGAGCTAGATCAAGGTTTAAATACTGGTTGTATCTACGGTGTCTTAACAATAGTGCTGGCTCACAGTAAGCGCTCAATAAATAAGAGCTGCCTTTATCTCTGAGGCAATACAGTCTCCAGAAACATTACACAGTCCCAAGAAATGTTTATTTTTATTTTATTTTATTTTTTACCCACACCCGAGGATATTTTTTCCATTGCTTCTCAGAGAGAGTGGGAGGGAGAGAGAGAGAGAGAAACATCGATGTGAGCGAGACACGTCCCCTGGTTGCCTCCCCCACATCCCCAACCGGGGCCGGGTGTCGAGCCTATAACCGAGGTACGTGCCCTTGGCTGGAATCAGACCCGGGACCCTTCAGTCCACCGGGCAATGGTCTAACCACTGAGCAAAACTGGCTAGGGCGTCCGAAGAAATGTTTAAAAACAAAAACGCAAAATAAACAAAAAGTCTGGGCAGCTTAAAAGAGAGATTTGCTCTTTCTACAGGGAAGAGGTTGGTTTTCAGCCTCGGATGAGGCCCGTGTCCGCTCTCCCTGTGCTGGGCCGTGGTTAACACACACCCCTCCTTTAGATTCCGAGGAGCGGTCCTGGGAGAAGGCAGCCAGACAGATGAAGGTAGCAGGTGGGGGTTAGAGGGCTCATGGCTTAGTCGTCAGCCAGAGAACATCCTAGAAAAGCTAAGGGCAGGGAAGTGTGTCTGTCCCTTTGTTTCTCTCCCTTTGCTCCTTACCCTCTAACTGTTGTTTTGGCTGAGCAAACCCTTTCTGGGTCTCTGCTATGGGGAGGTGTCGCGATTGAAGATAAGATGCAGCCTCCCCACAAATGCTCGGTCTCTCCCTGAGATTGCCCTGTGCTTCCTGACTTACAGCTCCAGGAAATGGAGGGTGCGGTTTTCCACGGGACTGGGGAATGGTTAAGAGCAAAGGCTGTGAGCTCTGCCCTAACTGGCAGAATGGTCGATTCGCTGAAGCTTGAGTGCTTAAGGCCTTAGTTTTCTCATCTCTAAAACGGGACCAATCATAGTCCTCACCTTATAGCATTATATTGAGGGTTAAATAGTGTGTTGTGTGTAGTGGAGGTTCTACCGATAAAAAAATAAACATGACAAGTAGAAGATATTAGCATTATTTTTATTTCAATGTGGGAATAGTATTTATAAAACCTTTATTATTTTTAAAATTCCACAATAATACTTGCTTGTTAGATGCGGTCAAACCACTTGAAATTGCTAGCATTTGGCCAGTTTTGAGCTACAAAGCCAGGAAATTCTCACATGGTTCAATTAATAGAAGAGTTGGAAAATTCAGATGAAAAAAGTAGGAATTATCCACAGTACCAGCATCCGGAGATACGCACTTGGGTGTATCCCTCTGGCTTCCCGTACACTGTATATGTAAATAAATAGTGCTGATTCGAAGTAGAAGTGCAATCCTGTCAGATCAGGTTTTTTAAAAAAATCAACCTGACGGGTCCAACGTCCCTCGTGGATACCAGGATAGTGGGTAGAGGGCATGACATGTCCCCCTCAACATCCGCTCTGCTTGAGGGAGGCTCCTGGGCCTTCTGTCTGCAGGGCTCTCCCGGCAGCAGTGACCAGGCTGTCTGCTTGGCGGCCTGTCCCTTAGCCTGTCCTTCCCCAGGGCAACGTGCTGGCTCAGCAGGTACCCTTGGCCCTGACCAGTGAGGGATGTGTCCTTGACAAGCGATCTCACGTGCTCCTTAAGATGAGACGAATTGTTGCTTTAACTTCAGAATTTCCCCACCACTCTGAGTAACTGCCAGAGCAGAATTACTTATTAGAGTAAAATTGTGGTATCGTCACACCCGCCATCTCTCCTCATTGTCCCAAGCCTTTTGCCAGCATAAATAACGCCTGGCTATTTTTGGAATGGAGACATAGCTACATCTTAGCAGGGCTTCGCTGTGCACACGGAGAGTTTCCTAAATGCACCCAGCTCTGTTGGGGGCAGGGGGCGGGGTGGGTGGAGGGAGCCGGGTCCAGGAGGGTCTGCCTGTCTAGTCTCCCAGCCTGGGGCTGGTGAAACCCTCACTGACGTAGACACAATTTAACAGCCATGCTGGCACTGCCCGTAGACCCTCACGGGTGCGCTCCACTCCAAGTTACTGAGTGAGCGCGCCCGCGTGAACGCTGGGCCAGGAGACAAGGCCCAGGGCCCTGCTGCGGGCCCTGCTGCTCACTGAGTCTGTGACTTGGAGCAAGTCGCCCATCCTCTCCCGCCTGTAGTTTCCCGAAAGAAGAGCGGAGGGATTTGAGTCAGGTGATCTCTAAGTTTCCTTCTGTTACTGTTTCCACGCTCTCACTATGCCTAATGGAAACTCTTCCTCTTCTTGATATCAGTGAGTCTATGAACTGGGACGTGGCAAGGACCCAAAGTCCACGGGAGAAGCAGAAATCACGGGTGTTTATTTTGTTCATTCAGAGCACTATTAGGAGGGCCAAGACACAAGCCCGATGGCAACGCGTGCATCTTACAAGGGACATACGCCCAACATATATAAAGAACTGCAAATCGACGCGCAAAAGAGCAGGCAACTCAACACAAAAGGGCAAAATGTTTTAATTAAAATGGATGTACAAATATATAAGTCAATAAGTTTGTGGAAAGGTACTCAGCTTTGTTTGTCATCAAGGAAATACAAATTAAAACCACAAAGAGATGCCCACCCCACGAGTCCCAGAATAGTCAACATTAAAGAAACTGAGGAGGCCAAGAGTCCAGGAGGACGTGGAGGGATTAGTTGGGACTCGTCACATCATACATTACGGGTGTCACATCGTACAACTGTTTCGGAAAGTGGCTTGACACACTCTATGAAAGCCGAACGTATACATAATGTATGACCCAGCAATTCAACTCCTTCAGTGTGCGCTCAGCAGAAAGGCGTACATACGTCTCTCAAAAGACTTGAGCGAGAAAGGAGCAGGATTCCTGAGCAGCTGAGAACTGGACCCGGCCGAAATGTCCATCAACTGAAGAGTGAATAAACACACGCGGTCTTACCCGAAGTTCACCAACAGGCAGCACGAACCTCTGCCCCTAGAAGGCGGGAGCGTGGCTGCCCTGGGAGGTGGGCAGTGCCCGGCTGGGGAGGCAGGAGCCCCCGAGATGCTGGTGACGTTCTGTTTCCCAATCTGAGTATTAATTACAGAAATGAAGTCTGTTCATAAAAATTCACTGAGCTGGACACATAACGATTTGTGTTATTTCCAAGGTGCGTATGATATACATCAATAAAATGCTCTTAAGCAAAAACATAAAATGTATAAATTTCATGATTTTTGGTCTTCGGTCCCTAATGCCTCCTCCAGAGGATTTTTTAAAATTCAAACCACCCTAACGTCTTTCGACCACCGTCTTCCAAACTCACTCTGCGCCTTATGACCCAGCATTTGACAACATGCTCTTCTTTCATGGTTCTCTGATCATTTCATTTGCTTTCACCTTCCCTTGCCTACAGCACTGTGAATTCCGGAACATGGAAGCTACGCCTTGTACCTCTGGACTCAGGCAGAAAGTTAAGAGTATGAAACCCGCCGATCTACTCTTCAGAGCCAGTCGTCTCGTGGGCCCATATTCCCATGCCACGGCGCCGGCCTCCGCCCTGGCCTCTCCGCGCTCACCCATGTGCTTATACACCTGTCGGTTACCCTGGCCCGGGTTCCCATCCACGACCTGTGCCAAATAACCTGCCCCTTTTTCTCTGGGCCCCTCTGGCCTCATCTGTGCCGTGTGTATATGTATTCGAGGGGGTGGGGTAGTTGCCACCAGCTGGGGATCTCTGGATACTAAGTGCAGGAGCAGAGAGGGTGGAAAGCGGGCAGTGACTGCGCATGGAGCTAAAATGGGGTAGAAGGAGTAAATGGGGGAAAGGGGACATCTGTAATATTCTCAACAATAAGTATAAATTTAAAAAATAAATAAGTAAACACAAAAGAGGGAGAGAGCGATAGGAAGGGACTAAATGAGAGGCCTTCAGTGCTACGCTGAGGCGCTTGAAGCTCATCACTAACACAGGGCCTGGCAAACTATAGCCAGGAGTCAAATCTCACCCGCTGCTTGTTTTGTCAGTAAAGTTTTATTGAAACACAGTCACACCCGCCCCTTTGTGTATTGTTTAGGGCTGTTGTTGCACAGCAATGGCAGAGTTGAGTTGCTGCTTCAGAGACCGCACAGTTCGGAAACCAACTGGTAGAAAATCCTAGGAACCAATTAAGCCGAAGTGAAAATATGGTCTTTATTGTTAGCACTGCACCTGTGAATTAGCAAACTCACCGCAGGACAGACGCTGGCTGGGCGGCTGACTTCGGGTTCTTCCCATGAAGGTTTATCCCGGGATGTTCACCTCGGAAACGATCAGTGGCAGAGACAGACCGAGCTCCTTCTCCACGCCCACAACCAGGTGGTGCGGGCTCCCTGGCTGAGGGCGGTGCTGAGAGGCCAGGAACCTTGCCCCAGTGGAGCCCCCCACACAGGAGCATGGGGGGAAGGAGCTGTCCCACCCGACACTGGCATATTGTCCCCTGAAGAACCACGTCCTCCAGGGATGTGCTGTCGGATTCTCGTGGGGTTGTCTCCTTGGGGCCGCTGGGCCAGGCTCTGCACCTGTGGGTTGTCCCTCGCAGGCGCTCTCAGTAATCCTGGAAAGACACTGATTCCCAGAAGAGAAACAAGGGCCCGGCATGAGTCTCAGACTAGGTGAGGATCAGTTTACCCCAGAGCCTGAAATGGGACGCTGCCCGGAGTGTTTGTGGTGGCGGGAGTTAGCGGGCTGATGGGGGGGTATGTGGACAGACCCCCAGACAGAAAGGGAGACCACCTGAAGAGACCCTAGGACAAGAACAAGCCCGTTGGGAACAGTTATAAGTTGTAACCCACCTGGCACAGCCTTTCCATGAACCCTGACACTTCAGTGCCATCCTATTCCACAGCCCGGTCCCAGGTGTTCGTTAGGTGTCACGTGCGGTCCTGTCCTGTGCTTCAGGTGGAGCAGCAAAGGAAAAATAATGCCAACCCCCTCCGGGGGCAAAGTGGTGGAAAGTAACAGCTCTTCCCAACTCTTCCCAGAAAAGGGACCCCTGCCAACCTTTGGAAGCAGGCGAAGAAGGACTGGGCACCGCAACAGGACACCTGGGGTGGAACAGCCCTGCAGTCACGTCCCTGGGCATGTAAGCCACGCCGGACCTCTCAGAAACAGCCAGGGACACCTTGACAAAGGCTCTTCCCAGAAACCACCTCGTGGGACTCAAACTGTCAGAATCGGGGCGTGCAGGTAACCGAGGTGCTGCTCTGAGGCCACAGGCAACCTGCACAACACACTGAGGGTCTGCCGGCTCACAACAGGCGACAACTACTCAAGCGACAGGACCTCTTGCCACTTGCACTGCTGTGTTATCGTGGCCTGGTGGATGGGCCACGGTGCCTTCAGGGCCCTTTGGGGACCCCCGGGCAGGCACCTGACAAGGCTTTGTGCAGAGGGAGGGCCCCTGGTCCCGGGGCCCCGCGTTTGTCCTCAGGGGGAGCAGGGTTTAGACCCTGCAGAGGAAGAGCAGGCGCCCACTGCAGGATGCGCCCGGCCACGGGGCAGCCGCCACCGAGCACAGGCCAGGAAGCTGAGCGGGGGCGGGAAGGAAAGCAGGAGGTTTACACAAAGCGGCTTTGTAGACGATCGAACCTGACATATTTTTAGCACCTGTATAAAAAATGCAAAACAGCCATCCCTTTTAAGAACCATCTTCGAAATTGCAATAAATTCCCCTTGACAGAAACTCAGTCGAGCCCAGCATGTAACCGCCCGCTGTGGGGAAGAGGGATGCCGAATGGGGTATATTCTTCTACTGTTCAAAAATAAAATAAAATAAAATAAAATAAGAAGCTCCTGCCTGGGAAGATGGAAGCTAATTTGCCAGAGCTGCTTTTCAAGGCCCCACTTACTCCCTTATTGTTATTTCCTTTTGATCAGGAAAATGAATACTTTCATTTCACCTACTTTGGCCAGATCTTTCTAATAACATATCCCTCAGGAAGTAGGGGAGAGAGGATCTGGAATTAGATAAATCGGGGCTCGACCCCTGGCCCCACGGCTCAGTATTGACCCTGTGGTCCTGACTACGCTGCCACATCCAGGCATCAACACCGTCACCTGAGCATGGAGGGGGCGCGGGGCCTGCCTCCCGGGCCTTGTTTGGAGGAGCAGGTGAAACCGGGCATGTTGAGTGCTGGCACCGCAGCTTGGCATTCAGTAAGTGCTCAATAAATGCGAGTTACTATTGTCAGCAGCAGCAGCATCGTTTTCATCATTGTCACTCTCTACCAGCTTTAGGTGCACCCCTTTTTTTCAGTGTGTTTCTCTAACTCATTGCTAGGACCTTACGGACCCATAGTCATGTTTTGGGGGGCCCTGTGGAAGGCGAATTTGAGATGAAGAAACCAAATGGCCTTTAATCGACTTTTCCCCTCTGTTATTTTATCCTGAGCAGTTCTGCTGTGTGTGTGTGTGTGTGTGTGTATGTGTGTGTGCACGCCCATGCACACGCACATACACGTGCTTGGTTGTGGCGTAGGATTTATTTCTTATGTGATTTGCAGCGTAAGGACACTTGAAACACACTGCCGTAGAAGGAATTCCTGCAGTGGGTGGGAAGCTGGATGTGATAACCCCTAAGTTTCCATCCAACTCTTGGCTGGTAATTCTGGAATTCTCAGCACTAAAGAGGAAAAACTCAGGCCCTCCCAAGACCGAGGAGAAGCGTGTCACCCAGCATCGCGGAAACACACGCACACGGCCTGTCAGCTGTCACAGACCCATCGCACAACAGTGCTGATCAGCTCCAGCGAGAAGTCAGCGGTAAGCAAACTCCAGAGACTGCCCCATTGTTATAACAGGAAAGTACCTCCGTGGCTTATGTCACAAGTCTATTGAATCCAAATGGCAGGTTATTTAAATTTCTAGACAGAGGAGGCCTGTAATCAGTAAACGTCTTACCCTCAGTCCCTCGTGGGCCCTCCTTTGTGTTCATGAAATTCTCACTCGTAGGGTGACCCTGGGTAATGTTTCTAACAATGCGCTGGCGTCGGCTCTGGCTCTCGCGCAGCACACAGTCGGGGACTCGAGGACAGCCTGGCCACAGGCGCTGGGACACCTCTTAAACATTCCAAAGGACCTTTTAAAATACGAATTGGAAGTGAAAGGGTGAACTGCCGTCACTTGGCAAGAAGCTCCGGGAGCAATATGTTATTACAAACGTGTTCAGCTTTTTAGGAGTGAAATGACCGAAACTGGAACAATCTGGGTAAATCATTAACTGCAACTGTTCAATTCACAAAAGCAATGGCCCAACGTAACAATAAGTTAATACTTACTGAGCACAAACTAAGTATCAGGCCTCACGATAAGTGTTAAAGGTTGGCTGAAAAATCTATCAGCCCTAGTTCCTGCCCTGCGAGTCTCAGGGACATAAGATTCGATAGTGGAAATGGGATCTCCCCAAATGACAAAAACAGAGGGCAGCCCATGGTAAGGAGCCATTGTTTCTGTGTCCAAAACCTTTCAGGTGCGGTGAAATCCATAGATTCTCTCACCAAAAAAATGCACGCACCACCAACCCCAATGCATTTACTTGCAATTTAATTCTACGTGTAGATTTGGGGTTTTGAACACTTAATTTAAAAGAAATTCAATGAAAGTTTTATGGAAGAGTAAAGAATAAATTCGCAACAGAATCTCTCTTATCCAGCCTTCTCTCCACCAACTTACTGGCTTAACTAGTGCCCTTCATTTCTTTTTTAAAAGATTCCAGCTGATGCCGAGGAATGCTGACTGTTCCCTACATGCTTACAGGCTACTTTCCGCTTCTGTCATCCAGTGGGACACTGACCAAGGGTCAGGAGGATCCAGTGGGACACTGACCAAGGGTCAGGAGGGAGAATTTGTTTTTTTAATAAGGCAGTAACAAAGAGAAAAAGGAACATGGTAGAAGAAGTATTCAGAGAGCAGTTACTCCAAAGAAGCAAGAAGGAACATTATGGAGCGATGGAGATATTGTATATCTTGATCACAGTTCTTACATAACTATGTATATTTTTCAAAATTCATTAAATGGTGTATATATAAAGGGTGAGTTTTATTGTATGAAATTATACCTCAATAAATTGAGGTTTTAAAAAAAACAGCTGGGATGACCTAGTAGGATTTAAGGCAAGGAACATGGCTAAAGTGGAAGGAGCCTTGTTATGAGATAAGCGTTTATTCCACCAGGAAGATGTGGCATTTATAAACAAACCTGTAACTAATAAGATGGCCTCAAGACATCTAAAGCAGCGTGAGTGAACGGAGCTAAACAGAAAAATATGCAAATGCACAGTGAAAATGGTGGCTATTAATACAGCTCGTTCAATAATCAATAGAACAAATAGACAAAAAATAATCAGAAAGATTTGACAGCATGGTAAACACAATCAACCTAATTTATTTGCACATATCGCTGCATCCAACAACTGTACAGTATCAAGCATACCTGTGGAGTATATGCCAATATTTTAAAATAAAGCAAATCTAAAAAAGTTTCAGATTGAAATAATATAAGATATAATATATTCTGACCCATAGTGGAATTAAGTTGGAAATTAATAACAAGAAGATAACTAGAAAGTAATTTGGAAATAAAGAAATATTTTTTTAAATAATTCATATGTCAAAGAAGAAATAACAATGAGAATTTTAAAATATCTTACTGACAATAAAAATACAATATATCAAACTTTCTAGAAGGTAAATAAGTTGTGTTTAGAGCAGCAATTTTCAACCGGTGTGTCGTGGCAAGGACCCTGGTGTGCTGCAAGACATGCAATGTCTGACTGTTTAGTGAGGGACACCCACCTCCTTTCCCTTAGATTGTCAAATAAAAAAAATGACAACAGCCAACACAGCAATAGCCATCTGGTGTAAATGAATTAAAATCATACCTATTTTTTTGTCAGATTGACAAAAAATGTATTTTTTTCATGTGCTACACTATCTTAGTAATGAGTTTATGTGTGCCGTGAGATGAAAAAGATTGAAAATTGCTGGTTTAGAACGTAGTTTATAGTTTATTCAAAAAAAATGACAGGTTAAAAATCAATGATCTAAGCATCAATCTCAAGAAGTTCTTTCTTATTTTTTCTTTAAATAGTAAACGGAACCCAAAGAGGGAAATAATCAAATAAGGCCAGGAATCAGTGAAATAGAAAACAAAAATACAACAGAGAGAACCAAGAACGTCAAAAGTTTGTTATTTGAAAAGACTAATATGACTGATAAACCCCTATCAAGAATGGTAAGACAAAAAAATAAAAAAAGAGAGAAGAATAAATTACCAACATCATAAATGAAAAGGACAATAGTAGAAAATTCTAGAAAAGGAAAAATGCGGTAAGACCGGTGTTTGCCTGGGGTTGAGGATGGGCAGTGCTCTGACCAGAGGGGCACAGGGAGGAAAGTTCCACAAACACTCTCCTCATCGGTCAAAGCTCTTTCACCTGTACACGTAAAAGCCATTCACTTCATTGCATATAAATTACACCTCCAAAGCGTTTACTTCAAGGAAAACACAGGAATGACTGTTGCAAAGGAAGAGAAAATCGGCGATTCTTCGAGGATATGATTGTAAATGTAGAGAAGTCAAAGGAGCTACACCTAAGGTGTTGGGATTTTAAGTTGATATAACAAGATCGCTGGATACATGGCCAATGGAACAAAAAATAAATTGTTTTTCTAATGACTAAGAACAAACAAAAAATGAAATCCAAGAGAAGTTACTGTTTACAATGATGTTATTGTATCTCCATAGGTGAACTGTCAACAGAGTTTACACAGTCACTGTAAAATATCCATTCAACATTGACATTAGTTTCTAAGCAAAACTATAAGAGAATTGCAAGGGCGGGTCAGGCGACAGCGAAGACGGCAGAGGAGGGGGCTGGGAAGAGAGTCAGAACCTCTACCCAGGAGCTGGAAGGAAGAGGCTGATGACGGAGGCAGGTCAAAAAGGGACAGTGTAAGTAGCTTATTTAGAGACATAGAGGCAGCGACAAAACAGTAATTTGGTTCTTAAACTACGTGCATGCATCCTTTTGGCAAAAATCAATTCTCTTTAAAATGAGAACGTGGCCTCTGAAATCAGGCAGCCTCGAGTTTGAAATCTGTCGCCTCCAGCTGTGTGACCGTGATGGCCTCACGTGACCGCCCGAAGCTTGGACTCTCCACCTCATAGGGTGGTCCTGACGACTGAAGGTCAAGGTAGAGTCATGGGCAACACCGTGCTTAAAATCAAAACTGATTATAGTAAAAACAAACAAACAAAAAGCGGACTGTAGCCAATTCTTCGTCCTAAGGGTAGGACAGCGAGGATCTGGAGACAGAGGGATGATTTAGATCAGGGGCGGGAGAGGCCTCTGTCCAGGGAAGCTCCTTTTACAGAGCCTTGGGTGGGAGGAAAGGTGAAAGGTGCAAAATAGCTCCCGTTTACCAAAGCATATTAATGACTTGTGGTGGCCAGTTGTCATCTCAGTTTTCATTTTATTTCATTCTCCTGGATCTTCAACCCCTTTTTATGTGGATGGGGGCCCATGGGAGGCAAGACCAGCCTACAGTTGACCCGGGGTGACAGTGTGGTGCCAGCTGGGCCATCTGCCATCCAGCAGGTGGCTCCATGTGATTTCACTTCACTCTGTTTCCAGTCTCCCCACTGTGCCTGCCCATTTCCCGGGCCTGATTCTCCAGCAGCCCTGCCCGTTCTTGGGCTCCTTAATTTCCCTCAGTCAGCTCCTCTGCTTAATTCATCCAGAATCCATTTCTGTTGCCGGCAACTAAGAACCAAGTTGGATACCTGATCCTTTAACATGCAAAAGAGGGCCTGGGTTTGAACTTGGGGGAGGGAAAGGGAGCTGGGAATGAGTTGGGTCACTCCGCAAAAGGAGATGGAGAGAATCTGGGCTTTGTTCCTCCTGAAAAAGAGACTAGGAAGAAGAGGGGAGAAATATAGGAAACAGCCCCGCAGGGTGGCTAAAGGGACATTTAAGGAAAGGGTTGTGGTTACTAGCATTCAGTTTTGAGCGGCTTCATTGCTATTCTACAATTTCTATCTCCAAACAACCAGGGAAGTCAGATTTGCTCTCGTGGGGCTTGTGTGGGAGGAGATTTGGGGTGG